TGAGCTCCATTTCCAGGTGCTTTTTACATTAAAATCAATCAAAATCACCTCTATTTCTATAAAATGTTTTCCATTCTATCAAATGAGACCAAGAAAACGAGAATACAACCATAAATACTATACGAAAATAGACCGCAAAGTCGACATTTTAATTAAAAAAAAACGGTCATAGTTTTTTTTCTCATTATGCACTGCATGCTCCAGGATTTTTTTATATGGTGCACACTGACCACACAGACCCATTCTCTCACATGTGGGCCAACCAGCTTTCTCCTGCTTGATTTGAAGCTGCTAGAATTTATGAGTATATATACGTCAAACACAGTACCTCGTAAGACGTATATATATATATGACCTCGACAGTCAAAGGGTTAAAAAATTAGAGAAAGTGCAAAGGTTTGCAACAAGATTAGTCCCGGAGCTAAGAGGTATGTCCTATGAGGAGAGGTTAAGGGAAATCGACCTGACGACACTGGAGGACAGGAGAGATAGAGGGGACATGATAACGACCTAAGAAAATACTGAGAGAAATTGACAAGGTGGACAGAGACAGAATGTTCCAGAAATGGGACACAGCAACAAAGGGTCACAGTTGGAAGTTGAAGACTCAGATGAATCACAAGGATGCTAGGAAGTATTTCTTCAGTCACAGAGTAGTCAGGAAGTGGAATAGTTTGGGAAGCGATGTAGTGGAGGCAGGATCCATTCATAGCTTTAAGAAGAGGTATGATAAAGCTCACGGAGCGGGAAGAGTGACCCAGTAGTGGCTAGTGAAGAGGCTGGGCCAGGAGCTGTGACTCAGCCCCTGCAACAACAACTAGGTGAGGGAAGGGAGGGGGGAAAGAGTGTGAGGAAGTGAGAAAGGATGAGAGGTGAAGAAGGGATTTGGGAAGGAAGAGGGGTGAGGAACCAGAAAGAAAGGTGGTACATGTAGTTGTTGGCTAGCACCACAGCAGCACAAGTTGGTGTGTCATGTTACAGTGTCCTTGTCAACTAATAAAAAAAAACTCTGTTCACAGTTCATTTTTTCATGTCTGTTTATTTCTTTAGGCTAAGTTCACTCAAATATATTACAATAAATACTGTATAAATAATTGTATTCATACTGCATATAATAAATTCATTAAGGATATAATACATTATTATACTGTATTCACAAAAAGACCCAAAACTTGAGTTGGTCATTCAGCTTAGCTAGAGAGAGAGACAGTAGTAGTAAGTAATGATGACTTGACATAAAGTACCTCCCTCCCTCCCTCCTCACTCCTCCTCATCCCATCTCCTCCCTCCTCACTCCTCCTCATCCCATCTCCTCCCTCATTCACTATCCTTGTCCCAACTCCTACACAGAGGAATAGGTACCCAGGCTGTAGCTAACTGCAGGAGAATTCTTTAGTACAGTATCACTTCTGTCTTTGCTCTCTAGAATAGTAATTATTTACTAACTTAAAACTGTGCCTTCTCATTATGGCAACATCATAGTAAAATGATGAAATCAAGGTTTATTTTGGATCACTAACTGCAATGTATGTTCCATCACTCTCATAAGACTAATTTGGAAACTTTAAAACACAGGCAAAAAATAAAAGATAATCTATTGAAATAGATAAGAGACTTTCTGGTTGAAAGAGAAATGTGAACAGTGATAAGAGGAAAAATGTCCTCTTGGGTACAAGAATCAGTACTTGAAAGAATAGATAAAGAAGTTTTTAGTAAGTAAACCCTCTATATAATGGATTAATTAGGGGAGTGGATTGTCAATAATGGCAGTTGCAGTGGATAGAGAAGAGACTGTTCTGCAATGGTTGTTATTATAACGAACAATTCTGTAACCAACAGATTTTGTCCCTCGTTTCCAAATAAATTGACCCAGTGAATTTTGTTCCTTATTACCAACGTCTGTTATGTGAAGGTCCATTATATGGAGGGTTTACTGTATCTTCAATAGAAATGACAATAGGACACAGATATAAATTAAGAAAAAATGGAGCAAAAGGGATACTGATAATTTTTTCTTTAGAAATAGAGTTGGAGGGAAGCTGAATGAAAATGAAAATGAAAATATTTATTTCCTTGCAAAGCTTACAATGTATGGTTTACATATTATAAATTATTAATTACAAAGAAGGCCTCTAGCATGCCTAGGCATTTCGGGAAGGCTAATCCTAATTCTTACTTTATACTGACACAGGTTATGGAGCAGTACATTTTAATATACCTTATTGCATACTAGGTAACTGAAGTGATTAATTAGATTTATAATAATGAGGTAGTACAAAACACATAACAATATTACAATTAGTAAATTTAGTACGTAATGAGAATGGTTAAGTCTTGGCTAAGGGCTAACTTAGATTTATTAGGCAATAGCTATATTAGAAATTTTATGTTTACAGTCAACTGGGTGAGCGTAAGTGTAAATTAGGGGAATAACAGATATTGAGAGTAAATCTCTTTTGTTTTTGATGTGTGCATGGTACTAAAAAGAGAATAGGTGGTTTTCATATACAGTGGAACCTCAAATTTCGAACGCATCGCTCATCGAACTCTTCGAAATAGAACCCTTTTTTCGAACCAACTTTGTCCCTGTTATCGAACTCGCCCCTATTTTTGAACCGCTGGGTACCGAACCTGTCCGGCAGCCCGCTCTGCGCCCCCACGCAGGCGCCGTGAGCCAGTCTGGTTTTGTTGATGCTTGAGTGAACACTAACCTGCGCTCTCATTCAAACATTTTACGATTATTTCATTGTGTTTAGTGCTTGTGGGACTGTGAAATAAGCTACAATGGGCCCAAAGAAACTTGCTAGTGGTACCCCCGTGGTAAAGAAAGTGAGAAACACCATAGATGTGAAGAAGGAAATAATACAGAAGTGGAATGATGTCCAAATGTTTGCAGAGAAGTACCACCCTGAGCAAACTGAAACAAGCCATCTTTGCAACAAGTTCAGTGACAGAACCATGTTCCATTTTAGGGAAATCTTAAAGAGGCACCAAAAACAGAGGACTGTGGACAGATATTTTGTGAGACAAGGGTCTAGTGACTCTCAAGCTGGTCCTAGAGGCATTAAAAGACAGAGAAGGGAAGTAACCCCAGAGAGGGCTTTGATACCTGTCCTCATGGAGGGGGATTCTCCTTCCAAACACTAACCTCAACTCCCTCACTCCTCCTCCTCCCTATCTTACAGATGCCATCACCAGTCTTCAATAAAGGTAAGTAAAATGTTATTTTACATGTTTATTTAAATTTATTAATACATACCATATTTGTTGTATGTAAAACTATAATTAATCTCTATAAAATGTTTTTTTTTGTGAATATTTTTGGGTTTCTGTAACGGATTAATTGTATTTCCATTATTTCTTATGGGAAATATAGCTTTGCTTTTCAGACTTTTCGAATTTAGAACTAACTCCTGGAACGGATTAAGTTCGATATTTGAGGTTCCACTGTAGTTAGTTGATGATGGGGTGTGTTAGGGAGATTAGACCTTTTTTTACGGTAGTTTTGAAAATGGTGGCCGAGTCTGCAGTTCTAGAGTGTATATTGAATTTTTGTAGAGATTTAGCTGGACACTAGGAATGTCAGAGATTTTTGTGTTTGGTATTGTGTCTATGGGTCCTGTCGCAACTATCATGAAAGTGTTTTAGTTCAGGGTTAATATGTATTAGAATTTATGTGTTGTATATGGGTGTTGAATTTCAGGTTGCTGTCAAGGTGCAGGTCCAGGAATTTGCCCTCACTATGTTTAGCAATAAGAGTGTTTTTAATCATTATGTTCAGCTGGGCAACACCTGCTCTGTTTCCAAACATAATACAGAAGGTTTTGTCTGTATTAAGTGTAAGTTTATTAGCAGTCATCCAGGTCGATATTTTTACTAGCTCTTCGTTAACAATGGTGTTGAGTGAGGCAAGATTAGGGTGGGAGATGACATAAGTCGTGAAAGTCGTGGTAATACATACAACCATTGAAAATTTAAAAATTATATGATGAACTTGTTAATGAAGACAGGACACCATGAGCATAGCTCTGCTTCTGTAGCTACAAATAGGTAACTGCCTTGCTAGTATTTCTAAATTTTCTGGAATTTGTTAAACACTTTGTTCAATAGCCACTAGTAAGTGCTCTTAGTACAGCTGTCAGTTGAGTAGCTGTTAATTTTGGGCACCTAGCTTGCTGGGCCAATATCCTTGGCCTCTTCATTTATGAACTTATGCAATGCAGCATTAAAGTTGGGATATCCATGTACATAACTACACCTACCATATGACTTACGACCTTCTCGACATACAACCACTTGACTTACGACGACCATGTTTTTTATGCCAAATTTCTGGGAAATGAACAACTGTTTGTGTTGTACACAGTGTTTATCCTAAACCTTACGGAATAAAACACAGTACTAACAGCATAAAAAGTAAAGTAAAAAATGAAATACCAAGGTAAAACCAATAAAATAAAATCATTACAAAAGTGTGATGTTGATATTCAGTAGTAAGGTTCGACTTACGTCCATTTTGACTTATGACTGGTTGGTCGGAACCAAACTTGGTCGTAAGTCGGATGGTACCTGTCCTTATCTACTTGAACATATACTGTGCCCTAAAGTATTTAAAAAAAAAAAAAACACTCGGTATACTGGCAGGCCTATACAGTATTATATATGACAGATGACTCGTGAAATTGTAGCACAATTGTAGACAACTTGCTGAACAGACCGGGGTTAAAACTTTGTGACAAGCCAGTCCTAAAACTAGCAGGCCAGTACTATCCATAGTTTCACGCTGTTACAGTGGGTTTGAATCCCCCTTTATTCAGCGAGTTGTTTATAATCATGCCGTTATAATTTCGAGTCATTCGCAATGAATTTGAGGGGAAATGAACTAGAGCTTGTCAGTCATATTTGTGAGACTTCTTATTAGAAAACTTGCATCTGTGGCAATTTACACTATGTATGATAATTGTACTCATGTGTACCTGTGCCTAAATAAACTTGCTTACCTAAGGTAACCTGTCCATGGTTCGATCCCTGGCGTGGGTGAAAACGTTGGGCGTGTTTCCTTACACCTCCTGTCCCTGTTAGTCAAATGGTGTGGGTGGCATCCCGGAAGACAAGATTAAAAGACCCCAATGGAAATAAGACAGACAGATGCCAATGATGCACTGACTTTCTTGGGTTATCCTGGTGGCTAACCTTTTGGGTTAAAAATCCCAACAAATATGATCTTTTTTTTTTTTCCAACAAGTCAGCCGTCTCCCACCGAGGCAGGGTGACCCAAAAAGAAAGAAAATCCCCAAAAAGAAAATACTTTCATTATCATTCAACACTTTCACCTCACTCACACATAATCACTGTTTTTGCAGAGGTGCCCAGAATACAACAGTTTAGAAGTATATATGTATAAAAATACACAATATATCCCTCCAAACTGCCAATATCCCAAACCCCTCCTTTAGAGTGCAGGCACTGTACTTCCCATTTCCAGGACTCAAGTCCGGTTATATAAAATAACCGGTTTCTCTGAATCCCTTCACTAAATATTACCCTGCTCACACTCCAACAGCTCGTCAGGTCGCAAATACCATTTGTCTCCATTCAATTGACTAGCACCTCCCAACACGGTTGTAAGTATTCGCCTCTGCTCCTGTCTTGATTTATATACAGTGGAACCTCTACTTGTTAGCATGTCCACGTGCAAGTTTTTCCAAATATGAGCAGTCGATGGGTCGATTTTTTGCTTCCATACGCGAACAAAATTTCCACAAGCGACCAGATCTCAAGGCAGGTTCCTTGACACAGGTGAGGGGTTCTTGCTCTTGATCTCGGGAATTGTATCTCATTTGTTTGTCGGACTATCTTATTGAAACTTGGGCAATGTATGATGGAAAGATGCTTCTTAACGTACACCAAAAATGAAAGAAATCTAAGCATAAATAATGGAGTTCACTTCTCAGCAATTAGCCACTCCTGTGCATAATTTCGAATGGTTTTTATGGTTGTGTTCTCGCTTTTTGGTCTCATTTGAAAGAATGGAAGATACATATATTACAAAAATAGACATAATTTTAATTGCTTTCACGACGAAAAGTACCTCGAAATAGAGCTCAACCTAGGAGAAATGGTCCATTGCTTGGCTGTTTCAGAGTAAACAAATGACATCACTGTCCATTCCAACATGCAGTTGTGAATGGGTTGACATTATTTATACAATTATTGCATTAAGGACTAACATTAAATCTTATATTTTTTGAGTGAATAAAAATTATAAATTATTTATATAATAATAATAATAATAATAATAATAATAATAATAATAGTAATAGTAATAAAGATTACTAAAAAGAATAAGAAGAAAATTGTCAAAGTGGGAAGTCTGAATGTGTGTGGATGTTGTGCAAATGATAAGAAAGAGATGATTGTGGATGCTATGAATGAGAAGAAACTGGATGTCCTGGCTTTAAGTGAAACAAAGCTGAAGGGGGTGGGAGAGTTTCAATGGAGAGGAATAAATGGGATTAGGTCAGGGGTTTCAAATAGAGTTAGAGCTAAAGAAGGAGTAGCAATAATGTTGAAGGATAAGCTATGGCAGGAAAAGAGGGACTACAAATGTATAAATTCAAGGATTATGTGGAGTAAAATAAAGATTGAATATGAAAAGTGGGTTATAGTAAGCGTGTATGCACCTGGAGAAGAGAGACGTGTAGAGGAGAGAGAGAGATTCTGGGAAATGTTGAGTGAATGCGTGGGGAGTTTTGAATCAAGTGTGAGAGTAATGGTGGTTGGGGATTTCAATGCTAAAGTGGGTAAAAAATGTTATGGAGGGAGTAGTAGGTAAATTTGGGGTGCCAGGGGTAAATGTAAATAGGGCGCCTTTAATTGAGCTATGTGTAGAAAGAAATTTGGTAATAAGTAATATATATTTTATGAAAAAGAGGATAAATAAATATACAAGGTATGATGTAGCAACGTAATGAAAGTAGTTTGTTAGATTATGTATTGGTGGAATAAAGGTTGATGGGTAGGCTCCAGGATGTACATGTTTATAGAGGGGCAACTGATATATCGGATCATAATTTAGTTGTAGCTACAGTTAGAGTAAGAGGTAGATGGGAAAGAGAGGAAGGTGGCAACAACAAGTAAGAGGGAGGGTGAAAGCCGTATAAACTAAGGGAGGAGGAAGTTCGGGCGAGATATAAGCGACTATTGGCAGAAAGGTGGGCTAGTGCAAAGATGAGTAGTGGGGGGGTTGAAGAGGGTTGGAAAATGTTTTAAAAATGCAGTATTAGAATGTGGGGCACAAGTTTGTGGTTATAGGAGGGTGGGGGCAGGAGGAAAGAGGAGTGTTTGGTGGAATGATGAAGAAAAGGGGTGTGAAAAAAAGAGAAAAAGGTAGCTTACGAGAGGTTTTTACAAAGCAGAAGTGTTATAAGAAAAGCAGTATATGGAGAGTAAAAGAAAGGTGAAAGAGAGTGGTGCGAGAGTGCAAAAGGAGAGCAGATGAAAGAGTGGGAGAGGCACTGTCAAAAAATTTTTTAATGAAAATAAGAAAAAATTTTGGGAAAGTGAGTTAAACAAGTTAAGAAACCCTAAAAAAAGTATGGTTTTGTCAGTTAAAAACAGAGTAGGGGAGTTAGTAGATGGGGAGAGGAGGTATTAGGTAGATGGCGAGAATATTTTGAGGAACTTTTAAATGTTGAGGAAGAAAGGGAGGCGGTAATTTCATGCACTGGCCAGGGAGGTAAAACCATCTTTTAGGAGTGAAGAAGAGCAGAATGTAAGTGTGGGGAGGTACGTGAGGCTTTTACGTAGAATAAAGGGGGTAAAGCAGGTGGAACTGATGCGATCATGACAGAAATGTTAAAAGCAGGGGGATATATTTGTTGGAGTGGTTGGTACTTTTTGTTTAATAAATGTATGAAAGAGGGGAAGGTACCTAGGTTTTGTGGAGAGCATGTACAGTCCCTTATATAAAGGGAAAGGGGACAAAAGAGATTGTAAAAATTATAGAGGAAATAAATTTACTGAGTATCAGGGAAAAATATACGGTAGGGTTATAATTGAAAGAATTAGAGGTAAGACAGAATGTAGGATTGCGGGATGAGCAGGAGGCTTAGAGTGGTAGGGGATGTGAAGATTAAGGTTTACATTGAAGATATATGTGAACAGTATTTAGATAGGTAGGGAAGTTTTTATTTCATTTATGATTTTAGAAAAGGCAATATGATAAGGGATAGAGGAGCAATGTGGCAGATGTTGCAAGTATATGGGGAAATAGGTGGTAAGTTTTCTAAATGCTGTAAAGGCTTTTATGAGGATAGTGAGGCTCAGGTTAGGGTATGTAGAAGAGAGGGAGAATACTTCCAGAAAAGTAGGTCTTAGACAGGGATGTGTAATGTCACCAATGGTTGTTTAATATATTATAGATGGGGTTGTAAAAGAAGTAAATGCTAGGATGTTTCGGGAGAGGGGTGGGATTAAATTATGGGAAATCAAATTCAAAATGGGAACTGACACAGTTACTTTTTGCTGATGATACTGTGCTTATGGGAGATTCTAAAGAAAAATTGCAAAGGTTAATGGATGAGTTTGAGAATGTGTGTAAAGGTAGAAAGTTGAAAGTGAACATAGAAAAGAGTAAGGTGATGAGGGTATCAAATGATTTAGATAAAGAAAAATTGTATATCAAATTGGGGAGGAGGAGTATGGAAGAAGTGAATGTTTTCAGATACTTGGGAGTTGACGTGTCGGCGGATGGGTTTATGAAGGATGAGGTTAATCATAGAATTTGATGAGGGAAAAAAGGTGAGTGGTGCGTTGAGGTATATGTGGAGTCAAAAAACGTTATCTATGGAGGCAAAGAAGGGAATGTATGAAAGTATAGTAGTACCAACACTCTTATATGATGTGAAGCTTGGGTGGTAAATGCAGCAGCGAGGAGACGGTTGGAGGCAGTGGAGATGTCCTGTCTAAGGGCAATGTGTGGTGTAAATATTATGCAGAAAATTCGAAGTGTGGAAATTAGGAGAATGTGTGGAGTTAATAAAAGCATTTAGTCAGAGGGGAGAAGAGGGGTTGTTGAGGTGGTTTGGTCATTTAGAGAGAATGGATCAAAGTAGAATGACATGGAAAGCATATAAATTGATAGGGAAAGAAAGGGTTGGAAAGAGGGGGGTAAAGGAGGTTTTGTGGGCAAGGGGCTTGGACTTCCAGCAAGCGTGCATGAGCGTGTTAGATAGGAGTGAATGGAGACGAATGATACTTGGGACCTGACGATCTATTGGAGTGTGAGCAGGGTAATATTTTGTGAAGGGATTCAGGGAAACCGGTTATTTTCATATAGTCGGACTTGAGTCCTGGAAATGGGAAGTACAATGCCTGCACTTCAAAGGAGGGGTTTGGGATATTGGCAGTTTGGAGGGATATGTTGTGTATCTTTATACGTATATGCTTCTAAACTGTTGTATTTTGAGCACCTCTGCAAAAGTAGTGATAATGTGTGAGTGTGGTGAAAGTGTTGAATGATGATGAAAGTATTTTCTTTTTGGGGATTTTCTTTCTTTTTTGGGTCACTCTGCCTCGGTGGGAGACGGCCGACTTGTTGAAAAAAAAAAAAAAATAATAATAATATGTATAATAATACGTATAATAATAATACGTATAATAATAATAGTATAATATAATACAATAATAATAATAATAATAAGTAGTAGGTTGGTAGACAACAACCACCCAGGGAAGTACTACCGTCCTGCCAGATGACTGTGAAACAGAAACCTTTAACTGTTTTGCATGATGGTAGGATTGCTGGTTTCTTTTTCTGTCTCATAAACACGCTAGATAACAGGGATATCTTACTACTCCTACTTACACTTTGATCACACTTCACAGACACGCACATGCATATACAGTGGACCCCCGCATAACGATTACCTCCGAATGCGACCAATTATGTAAGTGTAATTATGTAAGTGCGTTTGTACGTGTATGTTTGGGGGTCTGAAATGGACTAATCTACTTCACAATATTCCTTATGGGAACAAATTCGGTCAGTACTGGCACCTGAACATGCTTCTGT